TAGTACCACTGAGAACAGTCTAGAGATCCATCCTCTTTGGAACCCCCTTTCAGATAGTTGAAAGCAGCTATCAAATCCCCCCTCATTCTTTTCTTCTGCGGACTAAACAATCTCAGTTCCCTCAGCCTCTCCTCATAAGTCATGTGCTCCAGCCCCCTAATCATTTTTGTTGCCCTCCGCTGGACTCTTTCCAATTTTTCCACATCCTTCTTGTAATGTGGGGCCCAAAACTGGACACAGTACTCCAGATGAGGCCTCACCAATGTCGAATAGAGGGGAATGATCACGTCCCTCGATCTGCTGGCAATGCCGCTACTTATACAGCCCAAAATGTCGTTAGCCTTCTTGGCAACAAGGGCACACTGTTGACTCATATCCAGCTTCTCGTACACTATAACCCCTGGGTCCTTTTCTGCAGAACTGCTTCCTAGCCATTCGGTCCCTAGTCTGTAACAGTGAATGGGATTCTTCCGTCCTAAGTGCAGGACTCTGCACTTGTCTTTGTTGAACCTCATCAGGTTTCTTTTGGTCCAATCCTCTAATTTGTCTAGGTCCCTCTGTATCCTATCCCTACCCTCCAGCGTATCTACCACTCCTCCCACTTCAGTGTCATCTGCAAACTTGCTGAGAATGCAGTCCACGTCATCCTCCAGATCATTAATGAAGATATTGAACAAAACCGGCCCCAGGACTGACCCTTGGGGCACTCCGCTTGATACTGACTGCCAACTAGACATGGAGCCATTGATCACTACCCGTTGAGCCCGACCATCTAGCCAGCTTTCTATCCACCTTACAGTCCATTCATCCAGCCCATACTACTTTAACTTGCCGGCAAGAATACTGTGGGAGACCGTATCAAAAGCTTTGCTAAAGTCAAGGAATAACACGTCCACTGCTTTCCCTTCATCCACAGAGCTAGGTATCCCGTCATAGAAGGCAATTAGGTTAGTCAGGCATGACTTGCCCTTGGTGAATCCATGCTGACTGTTCCTGATCACTTTCCTCTCCTCTAAGTGCTTCAGAATTGATTCCTTGAGGACCTGCTCCATGATTTTTCCAGGGACTGAGGTGAGGCTGACTGGCCTATAGTTCCCCGGATCCTCCTCCTTCCCTTTTTTAAAGATGGGCACTACATTAGCCTTTTTTCCAGTCATCCAGGACCTCCCCCGATCGCCATGAGTTTTCAAAGATAATGGCCAATGGCTCTGCAATCACATCCGCCATCAGAGGGTCTAGACTAAAGGTTGAGTTGACACAACATAGCCACGAACACAACCACTTTGTGTAGCTTGAGTGTGATTTCACAGTGTGGCCACTCTCACTCAAGTGGATTAATTTAAGTATAGATACCTCAAGTTAACTCTGCAGTAAAGACATACACTCAATTGTGTAGCATTATTTAATCCCATCATGCTCACCCACAGACTGCTGTTACTAGAGGGTATTCTTTTTTGTACCACCAAGTTACAAATAAGCTTTCGAATGTGTCCATTTGTACATACTGAACCTTTTACTTAAAACAACTCTCACAAAAGTCACATGGCAGAAGGGGTTTTTCTGCATACATAAATTAAGCTATAGGCTTAATGGCAAATGTATGCCTCCGATAGCTGTGCACAGTCATCTGAATACAGATTCTGGCCCTTAATTGCCACCTGCAATCATTTTAATTTTATGAATATACAGTATCTGACATTCCCTACAAGATAGCTCTACACAAATTGCTTGTATTTCTTCATAGCCAATTAATTGAGGTATCATTTTTATCCTCGCTCATTAAAAAAAAAAAATCATTCCAAGCTAGAGTTGCATATATTTAAATGGTGACCTGCATAATTCTTCCTGGCAGGTGTGAACCTAAAATGCAGCACAATGCACACAACACTCTCCTCTCCACAGGAAGAACTATTTTTAGTACATATGATTTTATACCTATGTGCAATTAATTTCAACTGTTAATTTTTTCAAAGCCACAATTTAATATATTCAAAATATATAATGTTGATATTCAAAACACAGATATTCAATCTGAGCAGAATCCTTTTTCACGATACTGAGGGAGAATGATTGTTTTAAAACAAAGATACTGGTTACAGACCATACCTTCATTTTCCAGTTTGTTTGCTTCTTCCTCTAGTCCATCTTCTCTTAGTCTCTTTATCTTTCTTGCTTTAAGTTTAGAAAGTCTTGTTTTCAGAACTGCCTTTCGTTTTTCCTTTAAATGTTCACGTTTAGTCCTTTGATCTGTGGTCTTAACAGTAACCGAAAATGTTCATTAGTTAATCCTGTATTTGGTTATAATCAACTGTGCATCTCCTTCAATTATACCCAGAAATGAACTGATTATCAGCTGCATTGTCTCAATGGGGAGGAAAATGACCCCATTCCTTGAATCCAAACTTGCACACACCACCAGGCATAATACTTACTACCATTGGTTTAAGCTGTGAACATGGTACAGTAAAATTTGGCTAAGTATGCAAAACATATCTCTGTTCTAAATAGCTTGCTTTAGAGAGGCATGTGGAAGAGGTGTAAAGATACTTATTTCACATACAAGATGAAAATTTCCAGAGAGTAGAAGAAACGGGTTTTTCACTGAAGCGACACCTAATCTCAACTCAAAAGGAATCCATGAATGATAAGCAAAAATGGGGGAAGGGGTTTATTTTAGGATTTCAACATTTATTTTATGCATATAACTTTGTCCCGGTTCCTGCAACCCTTTCCCTATATTGATGAGATAAAAACCTTTTTAACATTTTATTATACTCAGAAATTAATACAAAAATGTAATAATTGACAAGTAGTTCCTCAACTTTAAGGGCCAAATTCCAGTGGGTAGGAGCCATGGCTGTGTATTTATCAAGACTGCACATGTACAATTATTGCAACTGTGCATGCAAGAGGCTCTGAAGTCTAAATATCCATTAATTGACACAACTATAGTAAATACATGTATAAGGGAACACTTTCTTGCATGCAGACTTCAGGTTACTTCCATTGAAAAATTATTTCTAAATATTTTGCCTTTCAGCATCAAAGATCATGAGTGGACAATTACAGGTGTCGATGCTCTGCAGTTCAACATCTTACACAAGTAGTTTTGGTTTTACTACTATTTGCCAACGTATTTACTACATGGTATACAGTGCAAGGTTCCAAAATAATATATAAAGATGGGGAGCCAAGGCTGTTCCCAGCACAGGCTACGGATCTACTATGAGCTTCATACCTGCTCTCTTAGCATTTCCAAAGTCTCCATTTGCTTATTTCTCTGTGCTCTATCACGAGCAAAGGCAAAGTAGCCAACACCAAGTTGTCTGGCCTCTGAAAGGAAGAATTTTCAACAGTTAGATTTCATCAGATTTACAGCTGCAGCAGCCTTGAAAGCACCAGGATATAAGTTATTGGAGAAAGACTCATTAGGTCATCTTGCCCATTGCCCTTCCTGACAATAGCATTAGAGTGTTATGTCCAGTCTAGTTTGAATTGACTCATGTGATGACGCTTCCCAGCAACTTCTCTTAGGAGACCAGGAGGTTTTTTCCTGATTTATTTTTTCTGTCAGTAGATGAATGCATGCTATCCCTTTGTAAATTAAGTGGCTATTTCTAACACAGTTTAACAAGGTGAGAATATATTTCTACTGGAGTCGTTTTTATACTTCATGTTAAATTACACCTTCTTCCTCTAAAAAACATCTTACAGTGAAGGTAAACCATACAAAGGAATGAATATTAACCATTTTCTCTAATGTCCTCATAATGTATGGGTCCCACAGGTTTCTTTAGGGCCTCTTCTTCCTCTCTTTCCCATTGCTGCCGCTGAAGTTCTCGTCTCATATCTTCAGACAATAGAGTCTTCTCCTCAATGCCGTGTCTAGTAAAAAACAAAACCCAAACAAGTGTAAAGGTTCTTTGGTATTGAACAATGAAAGTATGACAACAGCTAAGCCATTTTTAATTACTCATCAGAAGTGTGGACTTGGTTTGCAGAACACTAACAGAAGGCACCAAGATACTACAGTCGTGAGCACAGTATGAGAATTCATAGTACATTACAGAATACAGTAGGGAGGAAAGGATAGGATACCACATCTGGCACAGCACAATAAAATAATTCTAATTAATTAAAGATCCTTAAGAAGAAGTTGAGACCATTTTCACAGGCATTGTGAAGTCACTAATAACTGAAAATAGAAGAGAAGTGGGCGATGACCAGTGCTCAATAGAATAGTCACCAAAAGTAGAATAACAACAACACTTTCACTAAAGTGAAGTGAATACAAAAACGTGAACAGCATTTATTTGTTTAATGTAAAATAACGAAATATTTAAATGAGGAACATCAGCAGCTGAGGGAGAAAATACTTTTAAGTTTTCCCTTGGGAGGCAGAAACAGTTCTCTCCCTCATAATCTAGCTAGGCTAGAGCAAAATATGATTGCAGACCACTTATCTAGGTGAATACAGAGAATGTACTTCTTCATTCTGTTTTGAATTATAAAGAACAGGCTGCAGAATTTTCAAGGAGGAAAGCTTACAATTCAATAATATAAGTGCTCAATTATGGCACATTTCGTTCCAATATAATTTGCACTTCTGCCATTAGTTTTATCAGAATAGCTGTAATTAACTATACAACTGGAGTTCTAACAAATTCACTCAGAACATCATGTATTTGACTTTATTAAAAGCCTTGAAATCAGATCATCCAGGACAAAAATATATATATCTGCTGGAATTCTTTAGGTTTAGGGCACATTAAAATACAACTTCTACAGAAGGACCATAGTTTAAAAAAAAAAGAA